TGTAACACTGGCCAATCCTGAACATAAGCTTGAGACATGACCTCAACAGGATCTCACATGAATAAACTGACATACTACTATTCAAGCACGGCCAACCCGAGATTATGATGAGTTCGATCACAGCAACGTCAGAAGGATGGGAAATAGAAAAATTCGTCAGAACGCCCTGCTCTGCGAAGAGACTTGCGATTACGCCGCATCGATACTGAAAGCTGTTTTGTTTAACGTTGACTGTAAAATATCGAAGACTCACCATGAATAATAATAGACCGATAGACCGAAAAATAACAGGCCGAAAAAAGGGTTAAAAACCGCTCTGATAGATTCGGTAGCAGGAAATAAAACTTTCAGTTTATTGGATGGCGAAATCAGTCGAGGGACTACAAACAACACAGTATCTTCGTTAAAGCAGAATTACATTAGCCTCAAAACGTTGGTCTATTAATTAAAGCCCTCGACTTTGTTGATTCCTCATACCAATGAATTACAGAATTTTCCTTTTTCGTCGTCATACTCGATTACCATGAGCTTCCGAGCAGACTAACCACTACAAAACGATGAGGAAGAAAAGTTACTGAAAGAAAACGAAAGTGTAGCACTTACCGGAACTACGACTTCGGCCTTTTGTTCGTTCGCGATTCGTCGCTTTTCATGCTCTTCCCTGGCCGCCTTTTTACTTTCGACCATTTTGCGTTTCTGGTCACAAATCTGTTGTTCCAGCGATTTCGCTAGTGCCAGTTCCTCACGCAGAGCCTGCTTTTTCTTCCAGGAAGTGTGCACTCCTTTGTCTTTCACCAGGGCCGAAAACTTCGAGTCTTTAACCTTTTTCCAAATACGCCCGGACTTAGGAACAGATCTCAAAGGTACAGTTTCCAGTGGTTCACTGCTATCATCCGGCTGAACAATGACCTCGAACGCTGAACTATTATTCTTAGACACAGCAGCGACTTCTTCAGCTTCCGCCCGCAAAGCTTTTGTCTCGGGCAAAGTGTCAACTTCCATTACGAACAAGAACCATTTACTACCAAACTGCACCTGCAGAAAAAAGTGAAAATTGATATGACTGCAAAAAATCTGAAAATACACAAATGCACAAAATTTTATTTTTCCTAATAATAACCAGTCGCTGCAAATAAAAAAAATATCTGCTGTTCCGGTCTCATCATCAGCCATAACAAATCAATGAATAATCCTCATCGATGATACGTCGGCTATGCATTCAGCGAGAGCGGACTGCTCATTGCCGAGGATTGCAAGCCAAATCATCTGCCGGTAGCTACTTCATTTACATACTATAGGGATACAACAAACATAAAAACATTGCGTAACTAACATTCATCACTAAGAGATAGGTACTAAATGGACTGTTCCGTTCTCTATGAATCCCGTGCTTATTCTTAGCAGTCAGTATCGTACCAGATGCAAACAGC